GCGTCAGGAGTTTGTCACCAGATGGTGTTTTTTGGACCACTTTGAGGGCCTAGATGAGGGTGATGGCACAGGCTAGAAGGCGGCAGACAAAGTTTTTCTAGTCACCCTGGGTATGATCTTTAATAACAGACTTGTCTGCTGAGCGTCAGGAGTTTGTCACCAGATGGTGTTTTTTGGACCACTTTGAGGGCCTAGATGAGGGTGATGGCACAGGCTAGAGGGCGGCAGACAAAAATTTTCCGTTTCAGTGCATGCAAGGCTATCGATTTAGGGGGTCAAAACATGTATCCCGAGTTTGTCACTCAAAGTCGTCTGGCTCTCGGACTATTGGTTATTTTTCTATGAAAAAATAGAACTTGAATGGAGACTAGCGATCTGAGAGATACGTATTTTTTTTACTTCAGCCATCAAAGTGTATTATGTATTACATTGAAAAACTAAAAAGGAGTCCATACCTTTCAATTAATTTAGTTTCAAATCTCAGGTTATTCTCAAAATTTAAGAGCTCACACTTGAAAAAATTTTGCAAGTTCGAAGTCACAACTTTGAAATGCTTGGAAAAACCAACAAAGTTTTTTTTTTTTTTTTTTTTGGAAAGTAAAAAATGAGGATTAGTTGTTACAGTCAGGATTAATTCGCAGACTTTTATTTTCTTTGGTTTTTTAACCCTTGGAGGTGCATTTTCAGGACATGGGAGAAAGATTTGTTGGTCGATCGATCAATTGATAATTCCTGGATTATAGGACATTCCTTCAAAAGTCTCTGAGCATCTTGTCACTGAGCATGTCTGTCAGATATTTGTACACAAGATTTGATCATGACACCCTTTTAATTGACTCTAAGAGCCTGCCGCAAGAGAATATTGTGAATCATTTTGCCTTTATATTTGCGATATTTATCCCAATCGTGCATAAAAAGCTTTTTCAAAATTTATTAAATCATTGGTGTCGAGCTTGGAGGTTTTTAAGGAAATGTCCTAAAATCCAGATATTATCAATTGACCATTGAATCGTTTTCCACAACACTGAAGATTCACGTTCGAGTTTTAAAAAAAAGTAGAAAATCTACCTTTACTGCACTCTTTCTACATGCACATCAGAGATTTTGGCAGTCATTTTTTAAAAAAATTTGGAGGAAGAAAACGACAGGCTCTAATTTGTAAAATATGATAAAACAAAAAACATGAGAAAATATAACCAATAAAGTGCAACAATTGATTAGGCCAACAATTTTTTAATTCATCTTCGAATCTATCCTTTCCAAAATTAGGGATACAACCAACATAGAAATACTGGTAAAATGAAATTTTAAAAATAAGTCATGCCGTTTAAAATTTGATCAGACATTCCAGGTTGGAAACTTGTGAGAGCAGTGAGATATATTGCAAAAATTGTCGTTTCCCAAACGAAAGAACATGGGTAGCTGAAATTCAACGTTGCAGTACTTCCACTCTTAAACTGTGCTTTTACTAGAACACCATTAGACTTTCCAAACTGAAAATTTCACAGATTTCCATTGTGATTACATGCGAAAATCAGCAATATAATGGGCAAAAATTGCATAATTCTGAAAAAAATTTGGTTGTTTCAGTCGACATTGCTACCTTGGAATGAATCGATGTTCCTTTGAGTGGGAAACGAGGAAATGTCTCGGAGATAAATCTTCACGTATATCACATCAAACTGACCTAAGTTGGCATGAAATTTGGCCGAATTCTGTCTCTTAATAACTGGGACAAACAAATTGGGAGTGAGAAAAATAGGAGATAACAACATACTGTGAATTTTGCTGAATGCATGATAAAAATTGAAATATTTGGAATAAGAGAGCAAATTAAGAAACAAAGACAGAGGTTGACAGAAACCAAATCTTCCCAGCAAGTTGTTCAGAATTTTTATCTGAGAGGGTCAAATAAATATAAGTACGGTTTTTTATGCACATTGCAGTTACATTAATCTCACACGGTTAAAACATTTTTCATGGACAGGTTTAGGTGCACATTTTTCTACTTAAAAGTTAATATTTTTTTCACCCCTCTACTGGAGGAGCATGGACATTAATATGTGCATTCATAAGCCTACACGTCAGTAAAAAAACTGAATCCAATGCGAGTAAAAACACAATATCAACGGGTAATACTGAGGGAAAGGGGAATTTCTAGAGAATTCTGCGTTTCGGCAAAATTTCAACATAGTGACCGTTGCTCTAATACAGCTAAGCCAGGTAATCATTTTTAGCTTGTGGGCTAATCTACAACATAAACATCACAGTATTAAAATAGCTATGAGGAGAGGAGTAAAGCCTCGTTAAATTAAGGGTGGTAAGGAGGATGAATGGAAGATAACGCTTAATGTTATTTAAGAAAAAGTAGATATATATCCTCACAACACCTAACGGCAAACCAACAGAGTGACCGATTCTTTTACCTAGTTTATAGCTCTCTTAAGTCTTAAAAAGTTTAAAATTTTGCATACATCAAGAGGCTGCAGAAATACTAACTATTTTGGCACAACTATTTGCGATCTAAGCTGGAGGGTCATTTAAGTAAAATTGATGCTGAAAGATACACATTTGAGTGGGAAAAGAATCTTTAGACAAATAACAGAACAGATAAAATTAACTCACAACAATCAATTTCATAAAAAAATAACAACCATAACATGCATGGAATGACACTTTCAAGCTGAAAAGTTTCAAACTCAATCGTTGACTTTTGCCGCCATTCTCAGAAAACACAACATAAAATGGAAAGATGTTCTGATAAACATATGAGCTGCCGCACCCTAAACATTTAAATGAAAAACATTTTTGCGATGTATCCAGGAAACTGATTAATATGAATATGGGTTGGCAGCGCTGCGCCGTTTCATAGAATCATGTTTTGATAGTTTCATCTTATACATCATAGTAATATTTCATCTTAACAAAAGCTACGTTTTTACAACCAATATCAATAGAGATATTGCTCAAAGAAAACATGATGTGTGGCATCATCTTCTGAGGTAGTGCATGTTGTGCGCTTTTTTTTTTTTTAATGGGTGATATTTTCATTAATATTGGACATGGAAATTGGATTTCTGAAAGGAGTATATTAATTTTGGCTACTTGTAGAGCTTAAACCATCACAGCACGATTCTATGAGTAGGACTGACCCAAAATATTCATATAATACGAATGGGCATTGTACTGGAGAGGAACATTTTCACTCAAGTAATTTCCAGGAAAACCGTAAAAAAATATCTGTTTCTAAAATATTTTTGGCACACCAATTCCTAAATTAACGAAAATGTTTCCGTACACCTTCTGTTTTATGTTATACCATCTGAGTTACTCTTGCTGAGGACTCACTTTGATCAAGACTGATAAAAGACGGTAAAGAGTAGTTCATAAAACCTCTCAAACTTAAAAACGCACTCAAGGAATATTTTGATAACAATTGGCAAGACCGCAAGATTGAGTCTCAATACCATTCAGTAGGCAAAGTTGGGTGGTCTTTTGAGCTAAGAAATTTCTTCTTAGAAGGCTCTGGGAAAATATTTGGCGAAAAGACGGTGTTGGTCAAATCTCCTAAGCTTAAAAACTTTCATACATCTTACAACTGGATCTGTCTCCTCACAATCAAAACTACCATCTCTCACTAGACGCAATAGTTCAATCAGACATATCATACTGGAAGCAACCACAGATTACGATTTAACAATAAGTACAGTTGTAAAATTACAGATCATTGGACAATTTTAGCGATGAAACAGGCCTGATTTTATAGACCTGGAAGGACCAAGAATTCTTTGTGATGGAGCCAAAATTGAACAAAACACTGACTGAGTTTTCATCGTAGGAAGACAGCTAAAAAAAATTGTGCGTTGAGTAAGATGTTTCCACACAAGTGATTCCTCGCGGTGAGAAGGCACATTTGAGTAAAGTACTTATCTATGCTACAACTTACAAACGATAAAACAAATGTACAATCTAACAAGTTCAAAATTTTTATAGAGTATCTTCGACATCTTCGCCTTTCTTATTAGTACTGGTGCCGTTTTTCTGATGTTTGGGCTTGTCATTGTATGGATTGTCCCACGGCTGTCTTTCACTCGACGCGAAAATCAGGTACACTGTCGCGCATACTATGTACACACCAGATGATATTAAGAACACCCACCGCCAGGCTGCTTGAGTTGGCTGTGAAAAACAAAAAAATCTAATCAATTCATAAAAAATGTAAAGTATGTTATTCGAATGATAAAAAATAATCATATGATGTGCTAGTCATGAAAAATAATCCAAGTATTTGTACAACTGGAATGACTGGCAAGGAGACCTTGTCTTCTGTACCCTCATTACTTGCTTCATGACAAAATTTGGCTTGCTGTGTGAGCAATTTCTTTGTACTTGGAGAAAATTCAGGAGGGCTCTAGAAAAGTATAGACAAAATTAAAAAAGAAAAGAAAAATTAAATAATGAGGCTTTAATTAAATAATCAAAGCCTCAAGAATTTTCTAGGAATTCGGAAGAAAATGCTAGAGTGACACAATTCTAGCTTCTGATTGGTCATAACGCGAGACACATGTCAACTAATCGGATACCTCCAGAAGGATGTTTTAGACAGGTGATGAGGTTAGACGCAGATCCGATATCAAAAGAAAAAAACAAACTGTTAAAGTATCTCACCTTGCCATTGATGATGTGTCCAGCAACCAGAGGCGCTAGGAGACCCGCCAAATTTGCCAAACAATTCGTAAAGCTCATCAAGATTCCAGCAAACCTCGGGGAGATGTCGAGATGGTTAACTTTGAACCCGGAATATATTGCTCCATTCAAGCCCACACCCGTCGTTAAAATGAAAACGGTGAGGTAGGGGCTGCAGCCTGTATAGGAGGCGAAAATTAAAGCTATTGCAGGCCCGTATTGACCTGAAAAATAAACCAAATCGAATGTAAAACGTGAAAACAAATCATTGACATTAGGGATAAAAAAAATTAAAAATAAAATAAGATAATTGACTTTTGATACATCAAATGCCATGATGCTTATATGGTCTTCTGTAAGGCCACAAAAAGGGCTACTTCCGACCATGAAAAACAAAACTCCCTTCAAATTCGTGAAACTATTTCTAGATATTCTTAAAGTCAATTCTTGTCAAGACTAATTGCAACTGTTTCATATGTTCTTGCAAATCTTAGAAGAGGAGTTGCTACAGCAAAGAGAACAACCTTGTTCAAGTTTTCATCTAACTTAGGGAAACTTTGCAAACTTGAACAAATTTTTGTTAAACTGGAAAAAATTTAATCCAACTTCATTGAAATAGATAATATTTTTGGTCGACTTCCTCGAAATCCATCAAACTTATTGGGTCTATTTCACAAACTTTTATCGAGCTGCACATGTACTTTCTTCCCGATGGAGATTTGTTTCCTTGGATTGCAGTTGGGTAATTCTCCCCGAGAATCAGTGAAAAATTCTGTCCGTTTTGATTGCTTGTTTTCTCTCTCCACCCCCCCCCTCTCTATCTTTTCTTTTGAAACCTCAGTATCAAAACCAGCTATAAATCAATCCTACAAGCGTATTATGCTGATATTTTGAACCCACTTAACAGTCTTAAAAGCTAATAAGTCAGTCCGGGACTTGAGGTAAAAATGTTAATATATATGTAGGTTCTCCATATATTCTTCCATGAGCTGTGAAATATGGTTAAAGTTTCCATAATTTCTTCATTTGATAATTCTTTGACTTTTTTTTGCATTCCTCTGCTGATTCTAAAATTTCCGAATTCTCTGAATATCCCTGACTCTACTGGACCTTCAAACGAAACTTTCACTTACATTTTTGTTCTTGAAATTACAATAACTTTACTAAACTTTGTACAAAATTTCCTTTTCTAAAGATTCAAATTATGGAAAAAAAGCCTGCACCCATAACTTTTTTACGCTCTCTCAAACGGCAGTGGTTTAAGTGGTTCAGCTACTTCAGCAATTCACTGATTTTTCCTATAAAGTCTCTGACATTTCCAGGTCCCTGTAAATTTCCTGACTTTTCAGGTTTTTCAGACTGCCACAAATCCTGCAGGATTTTAATCATTTTGCCTCAAGTCTCTCCTTCCCTGACTTCATAGAAATTAAATAATTAGATGAACTTACCAATACAGTTTACTAGTTTTCTAGACTTAGTGATAGAGAAGCTATCCGAAATCAGGAAGTCAGCAATAAAACTTGCGACCATTGAGAAGACCCACATTGCTAAATACGGTAGGGCAGAGAGCACTCCATTCTGAAAATAAAAATATTAAAAGCTTGTTCAAAAAACCGAAGTTTTTAACGACAGATTCCTTAAATAACTGATGAACAGAGAACATGCAGATGGAGCCTCGAAACTTCTAACTCCACAATAAGGTGATAAAAAAGAGGGAAAAATTGTAGCTTTCAGACATGAAATGTATGTTTTACTTTGATTTTACAATAATTAATTTCCAGCCTACTTACCTCTTGAATGTTGAAATGAAGCACTTGCTTCATGAATGTTGGAAGTTCAGTCATCAGGGTTTCATAACCGTAATTCTGACCCATGTGCGCGATTAAAATTGCCCAAAATGGTGCTGAGGTAACAATACTTTTCCATGGTACTGGAGGCGACTGAAACACATAATAACAAAGTTACATAAAAAATTTATTTAAAGCCAATTGTATGCTCCTTTTAGAGTTTAATCCATACAAATTTAGGAATAATCAGTGTGCTATTTCATGTTGATTTTATACTCTGAGTTCAGTTGAGAACTACATTTTTCTGTTGAAAATACAAAGTTAAGAAAAAGTTGTACGATTTGTGAAATTAGTGGACAATACTCATTTCTAAACTGAATCTCACAGAGGAATAAAACTTCCAGCCTCTTTTTCTCAATTTTAACTCAGGGTGAGATGATTCTTTTCTGCTCAGTTTGGTCTAAATTAAGAATATAATATTGAAGTTAAGAGACAAAGCCTAAGAATTGTGCAAAAACATGATTGTGGGTAAACTTTGTCTCACGGTACCTACACGTTTGCAAGTATCTTCTGAAGAAATTGACTTGCAGAGTTCATTTCCAGTCTCAATATTTGGAAAATGCTCATCCTTATTAAATCAGAGTGTCCACTAAAACAGGCTGTCCTACTCGACCGAAAAATTCAGTACTTCTTCAGTACCTCAAATTGACGAAATTGGAAAAATTTTAAAAAATTGAATTACTTGCTCAAATTGCGACAAAAATAATAGAAAATGAAAAAATTCCGGACCTTCTTGCGGAATTTTCGCATTTTTTCAGTACTTCCAGACCGCCCTTAAAAATCAGTGCTATTTCCAGACTTGTAGACACCCTGCAAACGGAGAATGACATTTGAATCCTACATCCATAATACCCATCCAATACTTCAAAGCAACTGAGAGAGCGCTTATTATTCCTCTTCAACTAAAAAAAACTTAATATCGTCACCTTCCAGGCAAAGTATCACAAGCGCCATGCGACGTTTAAAAATTTCCGCCATTTTATTTTTTTACAGAGAAATTATTCAACGAAGCTGTCCGAAAATTTCACTGAATTTTCTTTGTGCTGCCGATAAAATTTAGTGAAATTTCCAAACAGATTCAACCAACAATTTGTCAGTAAAAAAATAAAATGGCGGCGGAAATTTTTAAACGTCGCATGGCGCTTGTGATACTTTGCCTGGAAGGTGACGATATCAGGGCTGCAGGCAAAAAAATTTTGATAGAGCTAAAGAGATTGCTTAAAAGTGAGATTGCATGGTGTTAAAAAGTACAACGAGAGTGAAGGTTGTTGAGTGAGGAGAGTGGTTGATGATACTGACCGAAACTCCTGCTGCCCCCCATACAGAGCTCATGATGTACTTTCTTTCGACCTCTGCTATACTTGGATGAGCTTCAGGGTCTTCATAAACTAAAAATAGGAATGCAATTGACCATATTGTTCCAATCAGTCCGAATACATAAAATATCGAAGGCCAGCCGCCGCTGAACCCATAAGCTGAGAGAATCCCACTAAGAGGATAAGATATCACAGTTCCAAATTGTGCTCCTGTAAAACAAAATATAATATCCAGTTATGATTTTATACGAATTTTTGCCTCTCAAGTAAAGAAGAGGGGCGTCAATGTGGCAAAATTTTGGGGCAATCAAATTTTGTTCATAGAGATCGATATTTCAGAGAATCTCATAAAAATCTGCTAAAATTTCACTGCTATTTTTTAAAAAAAAAAAATCTTAAAGGGATTATCTTCCTTTCTTTCCCTCTCCTCCTCGTGGTAACATGGAAATGCTCCTGCAAAAAAGTAAATGTTCACTAAAACATCTGAGGAATTTTCACAAAATATCCTGACAAAAATTCAGAATAAAACATTATGTCAAGATTGAGAGAAAGTTGAGAACAATACTGAACTGAATAGCAGAGGAATGAAAATAACCTGTATGAACTTTATACCCCTCTACTTGCTGTTTAAAATTCTCATAATATTTTTTAAAATAGGGGGAGAATGAGGTTTTAATCAATTTTAGAGGGTACATTACCTCGATTTACAAATGCCAAAAAAAACTACAGAAGGACTAGAAATGCGGAAAAAGTAAGTGTCAGTATACAACGTGTTCCTATATTTTAATTATACATTTCTCACTATGGGCTAATAATGAAACTGAGATGTACCTGCGTAAACAAAAGCACCCATTCGACTCCTCTCCGAAGGTGGAATCCATTTTGCGAGCATGGCATGTGTGCATGGCACAATTGGACCCTGAAAAAAGAAATTCTGTGTGAATCTAAATTCTAAATTACGAAAAATTATTATCAAAAAAATATCTAGAAATGTGAATCCAGTTGCTTGATCATTTTTAAGATAGCACATTTGGGGATGTACAAGTGCAGCCAAAGGAACAGCACCTTACACATCCATTCCCAGAACATTCGATTTGGCTTGCAATTCAAGGGCACTCTCCCAATCATCCACATGTCATGATTTTTGAAAAATCTAGGTATGCTTAGATTTTATTTTTTTCATTAGAAGACTAACGAGCAGTTTTTCTTCAAATTTTCTTCACTCATTCGAAGGTATACCCAGTTAATTTAAAGGGGTGGTTAGTTTTCTTTTGGAAAAATGAAAAAAATCGAATCGGAGATTTTCTGACACTATGCACTGCAGGTAGATGTAAAAGTAAAAGAAATGTGTACCTTTCTTTTACTCTGGCCATCGATTGTCGAATCATCGAAAAATAAGTGGACCGTTTGTGTATTTAGTGATAAGGAACTACTAATTCTGGCTCATTTTAGAAACAGCACACATGTCTTTAGTTCCCTCATGCAGATAGAGGCTTTTACGGATGAGCTGGAAACAGCAGTTCCTCATTGCAAGATGTATGTAGTCTAACTGCCTGCGATTAGTTTCTCTTTCATTTTACCCCCTTAGAGTTGAGTTGCTTCTGCACTAAATAATTCAATTAATTAATTGATTAATTAATTAAAATCGCTTTACCTCTCCTAAACCTTGGATAAATCGAATGAATATTAATTCAGCTTGCCCTGCTCTCGCTGCGATAGGAACAAGAAAAGCGAACACTGAGTTGATGAGCATTCCCAGTCCGAGGAAGTACTTGGCGCCATACTTTTTGGCCAGGATTCCGAACGGGATTTGGGTGATGACGTAACCGTAGAAAAACGAGCTGAGGATGTAGCTCTGCTCCTTAGTGTTCCAGATGAATTCACCGTCCGTGCTACTCTGCAATGCACACAAATCAAACATGATTAGAAACTCCAAAAATATGAATAAAAAAAACAAATAGGGTTAGGGTAATAAAAAACATATAGAGTGCCGTCAGGGCTGTTCGCGTGAAATGAGAAATAAGAAAGACTAGAAATTTCCGTGGAATATTTCATGAAATTTCACGAGGCTGGGAAATATTTCATATTTTTTCAGGGGCTAGAATATGCAACCCGAATTCAAACACTACACACACTTTAGAAGAGAGTTAGTGTTAGAAGAGAGTTACAATTTGTACATTTTGCGAAACATGAAAAGGGACCGGTATTTTTCAATATCTTTCATAAATGTCTGAAATTTCAAGATTTTATTTTAAATGAAAAATTGCAACCCTGGGTGCCGTATGAAGGATCTCCCCTCTCTTCTATTACGCATTTGAAGAAATGAGAGCTTAAGGGCTTGATTGGACGGATTTAAGGAAAGCAGCTTGGCTCAGAAATTACTTAATTTCACAATGTGTTTCATTCCTTCAAAGAATATGTTGTCAAATGAATTTAGGATTGCAGGCGAGCGGATAAAGCATTGTAAAGCCACTTTTTCGCGTCTGCGTGTGCTCCAAGTAAACGTGACATACACGGTGATACCACTATTCGACCACGTGGGGGCTCGTGTTGCCTACCCTAAAAATTGAAGGCGAACTGACATGGCATTGGAATCACCCCTACACATTTGGTAACAGGATATTTTATTGTGAGTTCTGAATAAGCGAGACATTTATGGTGATACCACTATTTGACCACGTGGGAGCTCGTGTTGCCTACCCTACAAATTGAAGGCGAACTGACATGGCGTTGGAATCACCTCTCTACATTTGGTACAAAAATAAGCATAACATTTACGGCGACACCACTATTCGCTCACGTGAGAGCTCGTGTTGCCTACACTAAAAATTGTAGGCGAACTGCCAGTGCGTTTGAATTTGTGAATTTATAGATTAATGGACAGCCCCTGGGCTTTTCGTGAGATGTAGTGCGTACAACAGAATCATCCTTGAAAAACATAGAATGGCGATTCTGGCGAGTTGGCAGCACTGTTTTTCCGCAAGTAAGTTCTCTAATAAATGATCGATTCTAACGAGAGCAGCACATAAAATCGATCGAAAATATCGATTATTTTACATAAATTTAAATGGGAAAGGCCCACGTTATAACTTTCTGTTATAACGTTTCTTAACTGTTATAACTTTCACGCGAAAAGGCCCTGAAAACGAGATAGTGTCTAAGGCGTAACAGCCGCCAAATAGATCCCCTGTCGAATTGAACCGATTTTTTCCCAAATCACGAGAGCGCCAAAATTGCGAATGCGAGAAAAACAAGGAAAACCATCTATTCGCTTTGTTGACAATCTTCAAATTAAAAAAAAAAAAAATGTATGCCGTTTTAGAGGACTATTTTGAAATAAGACAGGGTTGATTATACCAGAGAAAACAAAGAAAGAACAGCCCCTCTACCGCCAAACTAGAGATTGGCGCTTACGTGATTTGGAAAATAATCGGTTCAATTGTCTTCAGAACGGAGGTCACCTTCTATCGAAAGTAGGAAACTGAGGAAAACGAGACGGAAATGGAAGTCGATTATCAAGAGGTGAAAAAACATTGGATCCACCTGTAGGTGCGGCTATGGAAAAAAAGTGAAAGCTCGGGAACTTGCAGAAAGGAAGATAAGCTACGGAAGTTGATACGGTATTTCGTAAAAATTGAAAGCCACTTTCGGCTGGGCACCTTGCCACCGGGATTATGTTCACTCTCTTTGATAATAGTGTTTATATCGGGCGGGGTACTTGTCATTTTATCGGGTGATAAATTATGTAATCGATTAAAATATGTAAGTTACGAGTGGGTACAAAGTAATCACGCCGTCTTCGGTGTCGATAAACCGAGTGTCAACTTGAACGTCTCTAGACGCTTCCAAGTTTCTTTCTACGGGGTATGATTTCAAGCACGCATCAGTAGCCACTATCGGAAGGAGCAGAAAGGAGCCAAGCCACATTGGCTGGTTCCAAAACTGGGCAATTTAATATTTACGAGAAAACGGTTGTGCTGATTTTTGAGCGAATTTCAGTTGATTTTCTGCAGAGTGTGAAGCAAATTCCGTAACATTTTCAAAGGAATCCGCACAAACTTTCGCTAGTAAAAGATTAAATTGCCCAGTTAAATAAATCCTATACGGATAGGAACCAGCTATGTGGTTCCTCCCTGCTAGACGCGGTTCAATTGGACCGAGTTTAACAAAAAGGAACCAAACTTAACCAAACTAGCCAAGTTTAACTGGGCAATTAAAGTTTTTACGGGAGAACGTTTCTTAGGATTTCTTTGAAAATTTTAAGGAATTTGCTTCATACCATGGAGAATTTTCACTGAAATTTGCACGAAAATCCGCACAACCGTTTTCATGTAAAAAATTAAATTGTCCAATTAAATTTGGCAATAGCTGATGAGGCTTAGTTCCTATCTGTTTAACGCGGTCCAATTATTTCATTGATCAAGTTTGCGTTTTGTACATTCTCTAAAGACCGCATTACTTAGATGTCTAAATATTTCCCTGATGCAGACAAATTTATCTTAAATAAAATGACGTGTCTGCCTCAATTTCTAAATTCCCTGGGTTTGTCTGGACTCTCCGGAGTTATTTGGAGATAAAACTCTCAGAATTTTCCCAGGCCTCTCAATGCTTTTTTGCCATCAATTCTCATGAAACATTATTTTTACGAAAAATTTTAAAAGCGAAGTCTCTTGATTTTGAAAAATTGTAGTTTTTGATGCTGACGCTCTTCAGGGTGTCCACTAAAGCAGGCTGGTCAAAAATAAGTACTTTTACAGTACTTTTTCAGTACATTCTCGAGAAATTCAGTACCTCCTCCACCAGACAAATTCCGTACTTTTTCGGTACCTCCATTTGACGAAATTAGAAAAATTTCAAAAATTTGAAAATGGGAGAAAAATGACACTTTGAAAAAAAAATTCGGACCTCTTTGCGGAATTTCCGCACTTTTTCACTACTTCCGGACCGCCCTTAAAAAATCAGTGCTATTTCCGGACTTTCCGGAAATTCCGGACTTGTAGACACCCTGCTCTTGACTAAAATAACTCCTCACTGGAAAAAAAACACATTGGATCCAGACCAGACTCTTGAAAACATTGACAAGAAAAAATACTCTTGATTCAATCGGATTTTTGCTTGAATCAAACGAAATCCGCTTAAATTCCCTGGTAAAAATTGGCGATAGGAGCTGCGTTTCAAAATACCATAGGAGTTCTTATTACCGACTAAAGGAGGCTATTGAAAATCATATAGCTGGCTGTAGAAAGCGGAGCAAATCATATAGCCGGGCTATACGAAGCTATAAAAAAGTATTCAGTCGGGCTATAGTTCCTATCGCCGGGCTTTACACTTTATCGCCATTGGCTATAAAAGGCTTTAAGAAATTGTGTAGAAATTCGTGTGCTTTGGAAATCATTAAGTTTGATACGGAACTACCTTTATATTTACAAAACACATGTTATATTTTCCTTTAAAACATATTTTTTTTTTCATCAATTAAAATGAGAATAGTCCATACAGAGTGTGTGAAAATTTCAAAATCATGAGTTGAAAAACGCTGACTCCGCGAGATTAAATATTAAAGCCTAACACAAAACGGAGCGGCGACGCACTGGCGCCTACAAACCTAACCCTATACTTCACGCATTGCGCAGTGCGTGAAGTATCCCTGTTAGGTTTGTAGGCGCCAATGCGCGTTTCGCGCTCTCTGCCCGCCCGCCGCGCCGCAGCGTGCCACGGCGTCTGAAGCAACTATTTCACACCAGAGGTATTGCACAGTATCATAAGAAATTGAAGGCTCTCCAACATATCAAGAATGACAGGCAATCCTTCAAAAGTACGAAGCTTTCCTCGCAAAATAAATCAAGATACTACGGCACAAAAAGATAGCAGTAGTCCAAAAACTAACTAAGTCCTAGTATCCGTATTTAGTAACGTTTAGCATAAACTTTATTGTCTGGCTGTTGCTTAATCGCCATCGGCTATAAAAGGCTATAAAAAATTGTACAGCCGGCTACAGCTATTGGAAATCTTACAGCCGGCTTTAGGTCTACAGTTTTGGAACACACATTCTACTGCCAATTTTTACCAGGGTTAAGAGGCTTGGTTCTTGATTTAAGCTAGTTTCTGATTGGATCAAGAGTACTTTTTCTTCAGTCGGTGTTTTTAAGAGTCTGGACTCTAGATCTAATGTGTTTTTTTTTTTGTTTTTTTTTCCCAGTGTGCAACACTTCAGCGTGAATAGGGCGATTCTCTAGCTAACTGGACGCATATTCCCCGTAAAAAATATTACACTGAAAAAAAAAAGTATGGTAACATCTACTTCTTCGTGTCTATGGAAATTCGCTAGCTAACCGGACGCATATTCCCCGTAAAAAATATTACACTGAAAAAAAAGTATGGTAACATCTCCTTCTGCGTGTCTACGGGAAATTCTCTAGCTTTTTTTTCCAGTGTTCGTTTATGATCGGTCGTTAAAAAAACCACGAGAATGGAGATTAAAATAGGGGTGGAACTTACGGACTGGGTGTCGTTCTTGAAGTAGTAGGTTTCACACTCGTCATCCACAATCAAGGGGTCGACAGGTAAGGCTGATTGGTTCACCATGGCAACAATTGCCACCGACATGTTTGTCCGCATGATATAAGCGTTGGCCATGCCCAAAAACAGCATGAACGTCACAACGTGCCTCGCACCGATACATCCTGCAACACCAACAGACCAAGAAACAATTAATTAGCACGTTTTCATGATAACCACAGCTTTTGGGAGAAAAAAATAAGAAAACAACTACGTACGCGGAGAAAAAAGTTCGGTTGTAGGGACTGAAATTAGGTTTGTGTTGTACACCGATCTTTTCTCAGACAGGTAACCGAAGTCTCCAATGGCAGGGACCAAATTTCGGTAAGCTGAGCCGAAGTTTGGTCTCTTTGGCCGAGAACTCATGTTATCTAAACCGAAAAAGATCGGTTTTCAATATGATGTATTTAAAAAAAAAAGTTAGGGGCTATATAGACTGTGGAGATGTTGCATGTGTGAGGGATTTGCGATTTGACTAATGATTTTCATGTAAAAGTTCATCTCCCAAGCTTAAAAAAGCTCTCAAAGTGAGGCCAAAATGGAGGGGATATCCCACCCTACCCTGAGAGTCCACCTCTACATCAAAACAAACTCTCCATGCAAAGATAGGGAGCAAATACATCAGCAGGGTTGCCGTTTTTTCAGTTTCGTAGTTCCCAAATAAAGTGGCAACCCTGCTAATATATTTGCTCCCTATTATTGCATGTCTTGATGTAGAGGGGGTCTCTCAGGGTAGGGTGGGATATCCTCTCCATTTTGGCCTCACTTTCAGAGCTTTTTTTGAGCTTGGAAGTTGATTTCAGAAAAAAACCAGTGGCACCATCGTGTTTCTCGCGAACTTTTACATAAGAATCAATGGTCAAATTGCAAATCCCTCACACATGCAGCATCTCCATTAGACATACCATCCGTTTGGGCTCGTTCTGGAAACGTAGATTCGATTGCTCCGGGATCTACGCCCAGAACTTTCGGCTTCTGAGCCCGGAACGCGGACGATATGTGTATATATAGCCCGTAAGTATATACGGCCTCCACGGCCGGATTTTTTTTTCAGTTTGTATTAAACGATGGACAGATTGATGGAAGGTTGCAAATTTTTAGGAAATTAAGGGTACTGCGCTAAAAAAATCATTTTAGAAAGCTGCTTCCTGTAAATACACTGCATAATCTTTACACACTTTAATAGAGTAGGAGAAACCATCCCTTACTCTTTTTAAATTTTCTCCGACGAGTTAAAAAATTCTGCACCTTTACCGATCGGCGATGCACCAAAAATCATGAAAAGAAGACTGGTTTGCTCTTACTTTCTGTAGAGCTTATACAATCAGTTCAAACTGAAAAGTGAATGCACAAGTTTGAGCCTCCCTTTCTTACTCACCTTTTTCCATCTGAAAGTTCAGAGAGGTTGCTCGGACGAGCTGCACAAATTCGTGTGTAAGCAATGATTACGAATTTTAGCTGCAGCAGACAAGATATGTCGACTGATAAAGTACTTAACCTGCTGTTTGTCTAAGGAAAACCTTAAAAACTTCGACTTGAACTCTGCTTGATCCCTACATACTCTGAAGAAGATATCACGTGCAAACAAAAACAAGTTGTAGTTGTCACTTGGAGTATGCACCTATAATGCCTGCAGAGGTGTATTGTTTTAGAAAGGCGTATTTTTAAAGTGCTATGGCAGCCCAGCATTTTAAAACGAATTGAAACTTTCCATGCTTGTTGAGTCTTTTTTTTTGTGAGCTTGTTTAAATAACTGTTCACACTCTCTGTTGTATAATATACGCATAACCCCTCTCAAACGGGTGTATTTAATACATTTTACTGCGCCTTGATGTTTGCGTTAATTCTAAAATTATTGGGGTACTTTACATGTTCTCACCTCCATTTTTAACATTTTCTTGCAGGTAGCAATATTTTCCGCAAATTTTGTGAAATCATACATTTCAGTAGGATTACCTGCAGTTAAAGTCTTTTTTTTATGATTGTTGGTGTATCATTGCCGATCAGTAAAGATGTAGAATTTTTTTACTCGTTCAGTCTTTCGGGGGAATTTTAGAGAAGCAAGGGATAGTTTCTCCTCTTCTAAAGTTTGTAAACATCATTCTGTACCTAGTTTGTTCGCAGAGAGCAGCCTTCTAAATTGATTTTTTTTCCAGCGCGATACCCATAATTTTCCATGACTTTGCAACCTTTCATCAATCCGTCAATTGTCTATTTACATCATATTGGACACCTATACCTATCTATCCCTTTCGGTCACAGAAACCGAACTTCAGCTCAGCTTACCTAAATTCGGTTAATACTGCCGAAAACTTAGGTGTTCGACTTAGTTAGGTGTCAAGGTCTTGATCTGAGTAAAATTTTTTCAATAACTCGTTCAGCAGTTAATTTCCCAAAATCCCGGAGCATTCTCTATGTAAGGTTTCAAAGAAAAAACATGTTTAAGTTTTTTATGTAATTTAGGCCTTGTCTCGTGTCCCATTTCTTCAACTCAATAAAAAGTCACCTTACCGCGACACCGCACAAAAATGAAACGTGACAAGAAATTAACGAATAGAGATACGCGCTTTTCTCCTTTCACCATACCGACAAAAATACAATTGGAGTAATATTCCGGATTTAATTACATCGTATGAAATAAGGGAGTGTTGAAAAACTCGAGCGACGATGAACTTTTGAGCCTTGTCATCGCACAAAAAGAGGCATTAGTGTGTTCACAGCAAGCTGAAGATAAAGGATAAAAATAAAGCCTCCCGCGGATTTAAAAGCAATGAACATGACCTATATAAAGCACGAGGCTCTTTTCCTTCTTCAAGTGAACAGAAGGATTAATTCGTGATAACTGCAACAAGTGCCTCGGAAAACGTCATTGCAAATAAATGCAAAAGTTGTCAAACTGACAAAAATGGGAAATTAAGTTGTTTTGCGGTCGGTTGAGAGAGGTTGAATTGGACGGATTGGACTATTTATTTATTTATTTATTTATTTATTTATTTATTTATTTATCTATTTACTTATTTATTTATTTTATTTTATTTTCGTACATTAAAGCCCCATTATTAGAGCTATGGCACACGTCAAAGAACAATAGGAATTACATTATACAATAATTAAAAATATAAATTATAATTGTAAAATGTTAAATTAAGTGGTGGTTGGTAGGATGATATCATCAGCTGAAGTTAGAAATTCGTTTAGATTATAAAATGCCTTGGTTAAGAGGAGATTTCGAAGTAAATTGAAGAATTTCTTTACTTCACCATCGCGGAGTTGTTTGATGCTCCAGGGCAGAGCATTTATAATTTGGATAGCCGAACACTACGGACTACATTTTACGCAAAGGAACAACTTTTTCTTTTTTCCTCTGGTGAATGCGTCAGAAATGGTTGTTCCATATTGCAAAATGGACCAATTTCAACAGAGACGCACCAAATCGCGTCAAATTTGAGCTGAGAAAACGAGGTTGAAAGTTTTATCCATTCAGCAGGCCGATATTGAAATTGATAGACAAAGCTATAGACAAAATAGACAAAAGGAATATGGTGGGATCTTTTGGTGAAAGCGTGCGTTTGCATAATGGACAGAGCAGCTCAGTAATAGACTAACAAACGGCAACCGACAAGAGACCCGACGGTTAGTCCATCATTTCCCCCCTCAATCGGAAAGAACCACCAGTTGCAACCAATGGGATCGCTCCATAGTTCATGCGTCTTCTTTATATATCGCTTTGTCTATCAATTCCAATAATCAGCACGCAGAGAACTTTAGTGTTAAGGACGAAGTTTATTAACTTTACCAATGATGTTTTACATAATTTGCATCGACTTTGAATGTGTTGACGGTAAAATTTCAATAACTTCAAACTTTCAATTTTTTCGCGATTTGGTGCGTATCTGTCAAAATTCATTTCCCGCTTCGTGGTAAAAATCTGAGTTGCTCGAAATGGCAACATTTCCTCCTTTGTGTAAATACGATAATTTAAAAAGCAACACGTGGGGCTGTAAATTATTTTGAGAGGGAGCTTTGTTTGACAGGGTTATCCTTTTTTCATACGAGTGTGTTCTACTCCCGACTTAAATTCGAGTGGAATCCACGGCCACCTACTACTGGCGGGGACAAATATATCCTCTCGAAAGCGCCTGCAAAAGATGATTTCCGGGTCCCATAAATTAACCTGGCGTTGGGAAATATGGAAAAACCAACAGAGCTTACAAGTTTCCCACTCGTTCAAATACAGGTCTCTTCATTAGTCGTGCGTGAAGAGAAAAACTTCGATTACGAAACCTCGCCTCATAAAATGAAGCGCCGAGGTTTTAGGTCGACCACTAGGGAAAATGGTTGACTTTTTTTTTAAATTAAAACAAAATCCCTTTCTATTTCACTGGAAAAAAACACATTGGATCTAGAGTCCAGGCTCTTAAAAACATCGACAAGAAAAAGTACTCTTGCTTCAATCAGAACCTAGCTTAAATCAAGAACCAAGCTTCTTAATTTAAGCGCATTTCGTTTTGATTCAATCAAAAATCCGATTGAATCAAGAGTATTTTTTCTTGTCAATGTTTTCAAGAGTCTGGATTCTAGATCCAATGTGTTTTTTTTCCAGTGTTCAAGAAATTCTTTTGAACGGAAAAAGAATTGTCTTTTAGTCGAAGAGATGCAACTTTTTTATCGGTGACGAATTGATAACGAATGAAAGAGTCGGCTCTTCGGAACTACCGAAAAAAAAAAAAATAAAAAAAAAAAAAAATCATCGGCTCTTTTTGCAAATTTTCTATGCCCACTTTACTGAGTCCGTAGATGTTTCAGCGACATGAAATCAGCAATACACGGATTGTGGTATCAGCAGTCCCCTTTTTTACGGTGTACCAACTTAAAAAAAATTGCTTTGGCATGCCTAGTTGAAGACGGACTAATTTTAAAATGGAGGTAGTTTTTTCAGTACTTGACACTGAACAAGATATGGATCTAGAATAGAAGATCAAGATATAGAAAATACCAGATAACTAGATAAAAAGAGTGTTGGCGCTGACACAGGGGCTAAAAAATAAACTATTTCTTGGGTCTTTACGAGAACTGAAAGTTAATGGGCGATCATACCTTTACGTATACTTCTTTCCTTCTTCGT